GCAAGCTCCTCTGCCAGCTCCCTCAGTATTCTCAGGTGGAATGTGTCCATAGACATAAATGGGATGGAGAGATTTTGTTTTGATCAGAATCCCCCAATCGTAGCATCATGGCTGTCAGAGCAAACTAGTGTAACACATTCTTTTATTGTTTTAATTTTTTCTATTACTGTCACTTATAAATGCTGTTAGACATCTTCCTGAGCTGCATGCATGGGAATGTTCACAGGAAATTGGGAAGTACTTTGTGAATCCTTGCAAAATTTCAAATAATGATGTCTTAGCAGCCTGACAATCAGTGCAATGAATTCAAACACACAATATTTTTAATAGCTCATAAAAAATAAAATTCTTCTGATTCAGTTATATCACATGACTTTCCATTAGAAAGAGAAGAAAGGGCTTTGCACTGAACTTTAAGTGTTATTTTCATAACTGTAGGAACCTGCACTTACTCTAAATTCGTTCCATTGTTTGTAGTTTGAAACAAGGTCCAGACCACCTCAGTTCTGATTACTGTTAGCTGAGGATCTGTCTCTAAATGTAAATGTACCTAGTCAAACCTTTCTCCATCATCTACTTTGACCATTTCTCCATAACTGTTAATCTGCCAATAAGGCTCCACAGTCCAGGAACTCCAGCTACGATGTGTGAATGAATCAGAGGCTGCTGGAATCAGGAATGGGGCCAAAGAGACTGCAGAGATAGCTATTATTTAAAGGTAATTTAGTGGAATGGGCAATGGAACAAGCTGGAGAAAAATAGAAGCCCCTCAGGATGTCCACACTCTGCCTTTTACCCTACAGCTGAGGTCCCAGGTTCTTGGTTGAGTAAATCTGCTTTTCTGCTTCTCTCAAAAAAAGAGCCTAAAAACTACTTATGTTTTCCCTTCTAATGCAAAACTGTGTACTCCCATCCATGCTAATGTGAGAAGGGCTGAGAGACGGTCTGTTTGGGTTGCCTTCCTGTGCCTGTGTTGGATACAATGGAACAGAAAACTGAATAGAAAATTTTGAATCTTTGGATACTTTGATACTTTGGAAGTTAAACATCTCACTGCACACAGGCACTGAAGAGCACCTTTAGTGAGAAACAGAACTTTTCACTACATCGTGGTATGCACAAGTGGGAATTTAGATACTTAGTTTTAGCTCTCCTGAATCTAACTATGAGGAATTGACCTATGAATGAGAATTAAGGCATTTATTTAATAATTTTTAAATACTTTAAAAAAATTGTGCTCTGCGCAGTACTAGCCTTTACGCATTATTTAATTCCCATTCCCCTTGTCGTCCCTCCCCCCATTCATTGTCACTAGCACGTGCCCTGTTTTTTGTCTGTAGTAGCAGAATCTAGGTTGAGGTGAGGCTGTGCTGTTTGGGTGGAGGCTAGACCTTGCTTTAATTGAACAGGCAAAAACAGAGAAGGACTTTGATACCAGTTGTCTACTTGTGGGCTAAAATGTAAAATACAGAAGATACGGTATATGGACTGCTAAAATCATCAGACTGCGTGTTATAATCAGGAAGGAAAGAAAGCAACAGAAGATTTTGCATGTTCCCATGAGGTATTGGCAGGTTATGTAGGTCTTTGGTTAGAGCCAGGTACCATTTGTGATTCTACTGGTGATTCACCTGGCCCTTGTGTATGATGTTTCCGTGCTGTGCTTTCCTCATCTGTAAAAGTGAATTATTTATATTCATTCCCCAGCGTAAAAGCTTTCAGATCCACAGGAGGAAAAAGTTATGCAGGGCCTATTCCCAAGTCCACTGAAGACAACAGAAAGACCCTTATAAAAGACTGTAAGTCCCTGCAAGCACAGCACAGGACTCATTGTACTACTGCAATCAATGCTGTGGAGGTTAACTCACAAATTCATAATAAAATAGTTAGTCTCGTGATGCATTTTCTGTGAACAATGGGTAGATACTATTCACAGTACATTATATCAATAAGAATAACTCTGAAAATGTATTAGTTACCCCATGTTTTAGGGTTTAATGGAAGCAGCTTATAATTTCAATTCTATGAAGGTAGAATAAATAATATTTCTATCTGTAATATGTAACATACAGTGTGTTGCAAAATGTTTTTAGAAACATTCAGGCCATTTTGGGATTATGTGGTCACAGGTGTTACAAATTATTTTGCAATTCTGTAAGCATTACTTCTTTTAAATTTTAATTTATTCAGAAACATTATCTCTACTATCCGTGTGAATATAGTGGATCTTCTCTTACGGTGCCCTTTGGAATGTGTAAGGGAAAAAGAAGGTGTCAGATTTCTTGTTGGACCAATAATCTTTTCATGGATCCTCACCTAAGCAAAATGTTAAGCATGACCATGAAGTGGGCAGGATCCAGAGTATACTGAAGCTGTGGTTTGGGGGGTTCTAGATCAGAGTCAGAATGTGAAGTACTTTTGTGATCCAAATGCAGTTTGAAAGTAAGATTTTTCATTGATCTTGAGTGAATACAGTGTTCGTTTTCTGCCCATGAAGGTTACAGCAGAGTTAGATGCCTGGAATGAAGATCTGCTGAGGCAAATGAATGATTTCAATACCGAAGACCTCACTCTGGCTGAGCAGCGTTTGCAGCGTCACACTGAGCGGAAGTTGGCCATGAACAACATGACCTTTGAAGTCATCCAGCAAGGGCAAGATTTACACCAATACATCATGGAGGTCCAGGCTTCAGGTGAGCAGAACAATTTGACCTCTATTTTATATGAGGGAAAAAAACCAAAAAAAACAATTAAAACCCAAAACCTGAAAAAAGTATATCAAGCAAAAATACCTCAATACATACCAAATACATTAGCTTTTATCATAAATAAGTACCTGTCTCTCCACTCCCGAAACTGTTCCTCAAGCTTTGGGAACTCTTTGATTCAGGATTGTATGTCAAAAATTGCTGTTTCTTTGAGACTGAAACTCACTGACAAAATAAAGCTGACTTTCAAGTTTCATTCAGGAAGTTTTGCAACTGCAGGATGGAGTCTGTGATCAATTCCAAAGTGGATGGAGAGGGGAGGGCAAGACAAGCTACACTGGTACGTCCTTGTACTTGCACCAGCTCAGAAACAAGCACTGCAGGGAATCATGAGTTACAGATACTTTAGCTGGCCGGTCAGACCTCAGGTCTGGATGAGGTCTAGTCATTCTAGACTCGTAACCTTGTTAACCTTTTGCAACTAGACTTTATTGAGAGACAAAGTGACCAGATGTGCTGGCTTCATTCTCTGCAGACTCGAGTACCTTTTCCCTGGGCCACATTTCAGGGTGCAGACATGCCCGAGGGAGAGAGAAAGGAGTGAGGGGAGAAAGAAGCTAGTTATCCAAGAGCCCTCTGGGAAAGAATCCAAATATGAGATGAAACCAATCGTGAAATGGAACTCTTGTTTCCAGCCAGCTCTAACTGGAATTATTTTGTATAAAAAGGGAATATGATAAACCATACCGGAATTTTCCTTTTCAGTGTGCACTGGAAAGTTCAAGGTAGCAACTTGGATGTAAAAAAACCCTTTGGCATGTGCTCTTAAATGACAGACCTGATTCATGTTGATAGGGAGTCTGTCTGATGCTTTTACTCTGCTTCTCAGCAGTAGGATCCTATTTCTAAGACATCCTATGAATCAGGATTTTTGTATCCTTGCATTTTGCATTTGGAAAAGAAATATCATAATTCAGATTAATCGCTGCATAAAGTACAGAAGTGAATGTTACTTGTGAAGTGTTTTAACCTTCTTAAATGTCTGGAA